ATTTGCCATAATTGCCACGCAACTAGACTAGAGCAACAAAGAGACAGCCCCCAGTCACCGGCGGCCCCGCTATTCCTGGCTACGGTGGCGACCATGGTAACGGCTGGCCAGGGGGTGCTAAGAATCTTCGGTGGAGGTTCGGTTGCCACCTAAAACGACTTGACCTGGCAACATACAACGCACGCACCCTGAGGACTGACGAGAAGATCGTGGAGCTGGAAGAAGAGATAGCATATTATAGGATTATCCGAGGTCCGAAGAGAGGGGAAGGACACGGTAATCCTCGAATCCGGCAACTTGCTCTATCACCGGGAGGGCGACCACCTGTCCCAAGAAGGTGTCGGATTTATCGTTCACAAGCCTCTCGTTAACAACGTTGTAAAGATTGGGAGTGTGTCGACGAGGATTGTGTATCTTATACTCAGAATCACCAAACGGTATTCGCTGAAGGTCATACAGGTTTACGCGCCAACCTCGGCACACCCCGATGAGGAGGTGGAGGAAATGTATGAGGATATCTCTAGAGCCATGCATTACTCCAAAATCCACTATATGGTTTTAATGGGAAACTTCAATGCAAAACTAGGCACAAGAGAAAACGGTGAGCTGAAAGAAGGGAATTTTGGAATAGGGCAACGGAACCCAAGGGGCCAGCAGCTGGCCGACTTCATAGATAACTTTATGATGAACTCTTTCTTCCAGAAGTGGCCCCACAGGAAGTGGACCTGGTCGAACCCCAACGGTTCGACAAAAAATGAGATGGACTTCATTATGACGACTAGAAGACAACTGTTCAGTGAAATTTCCGTAATCGTGAGGGTGAAAACTGGTAGCGATCACCGAATGGTTAGGGGCACACTGAACATAAACGTTAAGTTGGAGAGGTCTCGTCTAATAAAGTCAACGCTCCGTCCCCCTCGTGCTCTGTTCCAAAGTCCCGAAACCTTTCAGCTCGAGGTACAAAACCGTTTTCAGTGCCTAGAAGGCTGCAATGAAGTGGATGATATGAATGACAAGTTCGTGGAAACTGTCCATGCGTTCGGAGCTAAGTTCTGCAAGATCCGCCGCAGAAGAACACAAAAACTCTCCGATCACACTCTTAATCGCATGGCTGTTAGACGAGATATGAAGCTGCAGTCTTGAGTAGATTTGACAGCATACAGGAAACTGAACAGACAGATCTCCAAATGCATGCGGCGGGACTTGCGCAACTTTAATAGAGCTTGTATTGAAGAAGCGATCGAGCGGAACCAAGGTTCCAAAGTCTTTGTCAGAGATCTGTCTGCCAGAAAGAGCCAACTGTCGAAGCTGAAGACCGAGTGTGGGAGCATCGTTTCCGGGACACCTGAGATTTTGAGTGAGATTGAGAGGTTCTATGGGCAGCTGTACACGTGGAGCAGAAGTGCGGTGGTCTTGTTCTTCAAGAATGGCGACAACGCTCTCTTGAAGAACTACAGACCGATTTCCCTTCTGAGCCTCGTCTACGTGCTGTTTTCGAGAGTCATTACGAATCGTCTCACGCGCAGACTTGACGACTTCCAGCCTCCTGAACAAGCCGGTTTCCGAAAAGGCTTTAGTACCATGGACCACATACATACCCTGCGGCTGATTGTACAGAAGACAGAGAAGTATGATCTGCCACTTTGCCTTGCGCATGTAGACTATGAGAAAACCTTTGATTCCGTCGAAATTTGGGCGGTGCTGCAGACCCTTCAGCGGTGCCAAGTTGACTGTCGTTATATTGAAGTGCTAAAGTGTTTGTACAGTTGAGCTACGATGGATATCCGAGTACAGAATCAGAGTACGAAACTTATCCAACTGCAGAGAGGTGTAAGACAGGGTGACCGTTATATCCCCGAAACTTCACCGCTGCATTGGAAGACGTTTTCAAGCTACTGGACTGGAAAGCATACGGTATTAACTTCAATGGCGAGTACATCACTCACCTTCGATTTGCCCACGATATAGTCCTTATGGCAGAATCGCTGGAGGACCTAAGAACCTAAGCTCAATGGCCTCAATAGTGTCTCCCAACGGATAGGTCTTAAGATGAACATGGACAAAACAAAAATCATGTTTAACGTTCATGTCACACGTATGCCGGTAGTTGTTGGGAGCACTTAGCTCGAAGTTGTTGACGAGTATATTTACCTGGGACAAATAGTCCGACTAGGTAAGTCCAACTTCGACCGAGAGGTCAATCGACGGATTCAACTCGGCTGGGCAACGTTCAGAAAACTACGACACATCTTCTCGTTAGACATACCTCAAAACCTGAAAACGAAATGTACAACCAGTGCGTGTTGCCAGTGATGACTTACGGATCTGAGATGTGGTCCTTCACTGCTGGCCGTATGAGAACGCTCAATGTCGCTCAGCGAGCTATGGAGAGGGCTATGCTCGTGGTGTCTCTGCGTGATAAACTTAGAAATGAGGATATCCGCAGTAGAACCAGAGTAACCGACATAGCCCAACGGATAAGTAAGCTGAAGTGGCAGTGGGCCGGCCATATAGCTCGAAGAGCCGACAACCAATGGGGAAGAAAGGTTCTCGAGTAGCAGCCTCGTACCGGTAGGTAAAGTGTAGGGCGTCCCCCCACTAGATGGAGTGAGGACCTGGTGAAACATGCAGGAAGTCGATGAATGCAGGTGGCTCAGGATCGTGCTTTGTGGCATTCCTTGGGGGAGGCCTATGTTCAGCAGTGGACTCGTAAAGGGCTGTAATGATGATGATGATGATATTACTTCTAGAGTGATATGTTCCTACTCTAAACTGTAGCAGCCTTATTAATAAAAATTGATTATTCCAAGCTTAATTCGACGTTACACTTGGACTAGTTAATCTCAGAGTAACTGAGTATTAACTTCTTTATTACAATGTTATTAATAAACATGGAGTAACCTCGTACTAACAATACATTCCTTACGCCGGGATTTAGTATTTCCTGTATACAAAATACTCTGTGATTATGTAAAATGAGTGAGTTAGTGAATGATTGGTGAATGAATGAAAAATTAATAACAGTGACAGGCAATATTTTGAGTTTGACAACTTGATAATAGTCAAAAAATACGTGTTACGTGTTGTTTTCGGACTCAGTGGAAAAACTAAGATCCAAATTAAAACACTTTTAATCAGGTCTTAAAAAACGCAATCGCTCTCAAAATGAGGATGAAGAAGAAAAGGTAATTTAAGTCAATAATTTTATTTAATTATTATTAATGAATCGTTGTACCGTGGTCTTTATTGATATTATATTTTACTGTTTCAGCTTTTATTTCGTACTGTGCTCAAAGAATATGCGAACATTATTGAAAATAAATCCCTAGATACAAATACAATCAAGATAAAAACTAAAGCGTGGGAAGAGGTTCACAAAAAGACACAACTTTTAGGTGTCCTGTTTGTTTTTCTAGAGTATGATCTATATTTCTGCTAAATTTGTTCCAAATCTGTTGTTCTATTTAGGCATAAAATTGACAAGCATTTGAAAAGTAGGCCCAACAACCAAAAACAAAAAAAATAATAAACTATACATTTTCAATTGGGTCTATTTGGTTAGTATTCATACAACTAATTTCATCGTCTGTACTTACAGGTTTAATTAGTTAAATAGCCGACATCGACAATTAAGTCACCTGAAAATACAGTGGAAAACTATGAAGGTAAATGCTCGGAAGAAATACAGCACCTACAAAAAAGAATTGACTAAAACACGTGGTGCGGCAAGACCTGCAACTCCTAATGATGGAGTAATAGAAATCAAAGATTTGTTGAATCCTGCAGAGGTGTTGAGGGATCATAATATATATGATTCAGATGGGATTGTGAGTACATTTTTCATTCTTTAGTTTCTTAGCAAATGTACATACTGCTATACTGCTTATAACATTTTAGAAGACTAATTCCTCAATTCATTAATTCATCAATCATTCCTATTGTATTTAATTATGTAGGCAATAGCTGTTTTTCTGTTCATGTAGTGTATGTTATGTTTATCAACAATAATACTTTTTAATAACTGGTTTTCATTTACAGAATCCATGATGACTATATAAACAACATGATAAGCCATAGCAAAATGTTGAAAGAGGAAGAACAAAGAGACGTTCGGAAATGGCTGAAGAGGAACATGCAATTAAAATGGAAGAACATGCAATTAAAATGGAAATACATAAAGAATAACTAAAATGTGTTTTACTTGAAAGAAAAATTTAAAAAAAAAAGTGTGTGATGGCAAAATTAATATAAAGAAAATATGTGTATATATATAAATAAATATATATATATATATATATATATATATATATATATATATATATATATATATACATATATATATATAATATATTAGTCATTAAAAAATAAAACAAAAATGTTATTTCATTAATTTATAATCTATCAAGGACCAAGTCCAGACATTTCCCATTTTAAATAATTTATATAAAACAATAAACAATATTATATTATTTACAATATTAAAAACTATAATCAAAAAAACTAAAACTAGTAACTTAATTATCATACAGTCCGACTCCCAAACAATTTTGACACTAGGAAATCCGGCTGTGAATGTAGCGGAGCGGAGATATTTATTAAAAAATCTAAACAAATATCTACAGCACTCAAAAGTTTTTATATTACATATTACATTTTACATTACATATTGACTTCAAATGTGCTGTACCCTGCTCCTTTCCCTGAAACAATCATTTACGACCTAAATAATAACACTTTATAAATGAAATATTATCACATTACTTCCCTCATTTATTCCATATTGATAAAAATTGTATGTAGACATTATGCTTTGACAGTTGACAATGACTCCGCAGAAATTATTAGTTAATATTATTATAATAACTGTCTTATTACATATCTTTTTGTTGAAATTTGTAAGCCAGAATTGGCCTCTAAATAACAAAATAAAATAAGTTAAATATATATACATAGCTTCAATTTTTTTTTATTTTGTAGATGTAAATAGTGTATAATTTATTTTAAAAATTTTCATTGATAAATGCTGCCCGTACTGAATTTCTTCTTAGGGAGTTATTTTCTAATTCTGTGACTGGAACATTTCCATCATCTTCAATTGCATCCTCAAGCAGATCTTTCTTGTGCATTGCAATGTTGTGCAGTATTGCCAATGCAACAATATATAGTTTTGTATTCACTAATTTTGTAATAAGTCCTGTAAACACCGAAACCTTTGCTTCCACAATCCAAAGCATTGTTCTACAGTGTTTCGGGTCCTGAGGTGTGACCGGTTGTACTTTTCTTCCTTTTGTGTATTCTGACGCAGGATAGGAGTGAATAAATAAGGAGTACAAGCATAACCAGAATCTCCGAGAAGCCTACCTTTAAATTCTGACTGCTCAATCCTTTGTTTTATGCAACTTTCACTAAAGATTATACTGCCTCGCCAATGTGTCACTTTATCCATGATCTCTAAGTTAGCATTTGACATAACCTGGAACAAAGTACTCATAGCTGTGTTAATATGAAATAATAGATTAAGTAGATTATACTGAATCTGACTAAGATATAACTAGGTAACTATATGGCAAAGAAGGGCTAGCTAGGTGCTATAAAACTTACTTGTACATTTATTGAACTGTATCCTTTCCTATTTATGTAATATTGGCCGATATTTACACTGACTTTCAGGATTCGAATATGTGTGCAATCAATAGCCCGTATCAATTGTCTAAATCCACATACTGAATAAAAACCTGCAATCACATGGTTCTGCTCCACATCACTTTGTGGCATTTTAATCCACTGTGCTCTTTGTGCTACTAGTGCTAAAGCAACTTGTTTGCATACAAGTGATACACATTCCATTTAGATCTCATGCATCATCTTGTATCTGTTGAAAGCAAAAGTAATTGAATTAGAAATCATAACAAGTAATAATTATACACTTAATTGTAAAAACTATTGATAATCATCAATGAAATAATCTCTATTCATTTTGAGGTTCTTGACAATGCACTAAAGTAACAAATATTAATGCAAGTAACGAAATACGAACTTATTTAGGCAGCTACAACGTGCGTAAAGTTTTACAAAATGTCATAATACGCGGCTACCGGCTACTCTATGCTTGTTCCGTCGTTAAACTATGTAACGCCAAGGATTAACTTTTATTCCGAGAGTAGATTCGGATTAGTTTACTCTAGGTTTATTAATCCATCAAATTAGTTATTTTAAACTTTAAACTAGGAGTGAAGTTAATCTTGCTCAAGTCTATGTTAATTAATGGGGCTATAGGAGTATACTCTACCCTATATGAGTATTCTTACTAAAGTGAGGCTGCATTACATTTCTACCAGAGAAATAAAATCATGAATTATTCTATTATAATTTAAGCTCATCTCATAATTAATGCGTGTTGTGTTATGTATTTTTTTATTTTATTTTATTGTACCGTTAGACTTTAAAGGAAATACCTATATAATGTTCCGACCAATACAATTTTAGTAACACTTTTGTTTTTTTAGAGCAACTAAACACATATAAAAATGTTTGTGTTGTAAGTACGCCTTTACTTTGCGGAAATCCACTATAAATAAGGATAAAATTGCAAGCTAGCATGCTATGTTAATTTTATTGCAGTCAGGCACTATGATATTTTAAAAATAAGAAATCTACGTCTTAATCGCTACTATTAGACGAGTCCGACTCGTACTTGGCCGCTTTTTTAATCCTTGTTGAAAATAAGAACGCCGTTATGTTTTAGTGTTTATTTATTAATATTTTCTTTTAATTATTACATACACTGCATGTGTGTGTTTTAACTTAAATACTTAAGTGAAAGATAATGCAATAAATAAGTTTTGTACTGCATCAAATCACGAACAACGAATCTCACACTTCTAACTTCGTAGACTTTGGGGAGACCCTGACACCTCTCGCTTCTTTCACATCCGTATAATATTTACGCATAAATGCAGTGGTGCACTTAATATGGCCCAATTTCAACATATCGCCAATTTCATCTAGCCGATTCTGCCACTTACTGCTGCAGCGTAAATTTGCTTTGTCAAACTTTCTTTATTCATTGTTTCATTGTAAGGTTTCAAAATAGTATAGGTTCTTCCTGCTTAAATCAAAATAAAAATCAATTATTTGTAACCGCGAACTCGACAACGTCCAGCGGCCCAAACAAGCCGGTTTCAGAAAAGGCTTTAGTAACATTGACCACACATACACCCTTCAGCAAATTGTACGTTCTTATGTACAAGTTCAATGAACTCTTTAAAATGAAAAATGAACTTTTGAAATTGATTACTAAACAACTTTTGATTTAAAAATATTGAGAATGACAGCATTTGTAATTTTAACAGCACATTGAGTAAGTGAAATATTTCCATTTTGTTAGTACCTAATTATGTAAATTTGAATACCGAATAGTACAATCTACTACTTTACCTTGCGTATGTAAACTATGAGAAAGCCTTTGATTCCATCGAAAATTGGACGGTGCTTCAGTCCCTTCAGCTGTGCCAAGTTAACTGTTGGTATATTGAAGTACTGAAGTATTTTACTGTAACTACAGTACCAGAGAAAAGAACCAGAGTACGATACTCATCCAACTGCAGAGAGGTGTAAGACAGGGTGACGTCATAACTGCGAAACTCTTCACCGCTGCATTGGAAGACGTTTTCAAGCTACTGGACTTAAAAAATGCGGCATTTACATCAATAGCGAGTACATGACACACCTCCGAATTAACGACGATATAGACCTTATGGAGTCGATAGAAGGCCTAAGCACTATGCTCAATGACCTCAATAGTGCCTCCTAACGGATAGCTCTTAAGACGAACAAGAACAAAACAAAGGTCATGTATAATGTCCATGTCACACCTATGCCGGTAGTTGTTGGGAGCACTACGCTCAAAATTGTCGACGAGTTTGTTTACCTGGAACAAATAGTCCGACTGGGTAAGTCCAACTTCGATCGACAGATCAATAGATGGATCCAACAGGGCTGCGCAGCGTTTGGGAGATTAAGACACATCTTCTATTCACCCCAAAATCTGAAATCAATATTGTAAAACCGGTGCGTGATGCCGGTAATAACGTTAATAATCTACATTTGAACGGAAATAAAACTAATTGTGTTAAATTTACAACAACGAATGTTAAAAATCTGAATACCAATGTGTTTTTAAATGGGGAGGAATTGAACCCTGTTGTATCCACTGTTTTTGGCATCACTCTTGACGCAAAGCTCCAGTGGGGCCCCCATATATCCAAATTAGCAAGCAGACTAAGTTCTGCAGCCTATGCTGTAAAAAAGATTAGAGGTCTCACTAGTGTCGAGACAGCTAGATTAGTTTATTTTAGTTATTTCCATAGCATAATTTCTTATGAGACTTTTCTATGGGGAAATGCGGCTGATTCAGAAACTATTTTGTTTTACAGAAGAGGGCCATTAGAGCTATTTACAATCTAAAACCGAGAGAGTCTCTTAGAGATAAATTTAAATAAATTAATATATTAACTTTGGCCTCTCAGTGTTTTTACGAAAATTTAATGTATGTTCACAAAAACAAAGATTGAGTAAAAAAAGTGATATACATTCTATAAACACTAGGAACAAACACAAGCTAGTGATGCCAGTTTCTCGACTCCACAGAGTCAGTAATTCATTCTTGGGGCAATGTATACGCTATTACAACAAGGTCCCGGAAAGTGTACAGGTACTCTCTATTACCAAGTTTAAATGTTTTATTAAGCTGAAACTGTATAAAAAGGGTTATTATAGTATAAATGAATACATGGTTGATAATAACCCCTGGGAATGAGGTGGTCGCTTCCAAGCAGTTTTTAAAATAAATTTTGTAAATAGTTCGTAATCATCTATATTATAAAATTTATTTTTAAAAAAAGTCCCGCTGGGTTTCTTGCTGGTTCTTCCCAGGACAGAGGGTTTTTTTTTTCGAACCAGTGGTAAAGTAAAAAATGACTTTCAATAAGAATTACACATGTAATGTATATTGAATAAAAAATATTCTATTCTATTCTATTCTATTCTATGGATCTTAGACATTTCATTGCTGGCCGTATGAGCAATCTTAAGGTCGCTCAGTGAGCTATGGATAGGGCTATGCTTGGGATTTCTCTGCGTGATAAACTTAAAAAATGAGGATATCCGCAGTAGAACCAGAGTAATCGGTAGCTCAGGAACGTGTTTTCTCACATTCCTTAGGGAAGGCCTATGTTCAGCAGTGGACTTGTTAAAGGCTGTAATGATAATAATGTTATTTGCTCGTATATTGCGTGTTTGGTTCCAAGTAATTTATTTGTGCATTCTTTATCACTTAAGCGCATGAACGTAATAAAATTTTCCTATAACTATTAAAATTTTAATTTTACGCCACTTAATAACGTTGATAAGACAAAGAAACAGAACATTTACAAAATATTTTTATTGAGGATTAACATTATAAATTGTACAATAATTTTAAATATAGTTTTACTATTTACATTGATTACTAAACAACTTGTTGATTTAAAATGTTGAGGATGACAGCATTTGTAGCTTTAACAGCACAATTAGCACGTGAAACATTTCCATTTTGTAAGTATTACGAAAATTTTATTATGTTCCAATACTGTCAAATATTCTTCCATCTTATTTTATAACTTGCATCTTATTTTATAGACACTTGCATCCCTAAAACACATTTTTTTAGTAATGGTCGCCTATGTCACTGCGACTTAACGGGCCGGTGGTCAGAAAAGGACTGTCAACAGGTACCACATCGCACGTCATGTCAAAATGGACAGATTATTTGGTTAGGTTGTAATCAATGCATATGCAATAAAGGCAAATTACATTGCACGGAAATTTACTGTAGTGATAAGATATACAATACACGCAGAGAATTGTCGGTTATTGGTTATTGGTGTATTCCCTTGAAATACTACAGAATAAACTGCAGCATCTGTTTTTGTCCAGCATCTGGTCGTACATCCGAAGCTCAATGTACAGTTGATGCTTCTTGCTTATCTAATCAGCAATCATCGGACAAGCTTGCATCTGTATATGATACTAATTGTATACCAAACGTTATGTACATTTTCCCATGCCTTCAGTGCTTGTGTTCAGACAACGGAAGATTTTTGCTTGAAAAATGTTTTGAGGTATGTCAAACACCGACACAGGTTAAATTAATTAAAAAATGTAAGCCTGGATCATTTTATAAACAAAACTGCAATGTTTGTCGTTGTCCACATAACGGTATTCGGGACGAGAAAATATGTTTTAATACCACTTGTAATGTTAACTCGTCGAAATCAAATTTAGTTAGTCTCCTAATCTCGCAAAATAGTTGCATTCCTTACACTTTCACGAGACCAAGATGTTTCATTTGTGACTGTAATACGAAAGGCACTCTTAATGATAATTCTTGCTCAGAAATAAATTGCACGAGAAACTTCGAATTATATAATGTTAATCGGAACGAGTCATGCAATCCAGAAGAGATTTTGCCAGTTTGTGTGGAATGCATTTGTCTCAAAAATGGTTCATTCAATGAGAAATATTGCACCAGAACTTGTAATAATCAAAATAAATTAATAATACTAGAGGAAATATTAACAGATAGCCAAAAAATACAAAATTTAATTACACACACTGATATTAAAATAATAGCTCCAAAGAGTTCATGTGAAAAGAATTCTATATTTTTATTTGACGACAAATACTGTATATGCGCTAGTGGTAAAGCAATTCTTAAATATTGCAAGCCTTTCACACAAGAAAAAAATTATACAAGTACTCGTAATTACAGAACGTCCATTAATAATCAACAAAAATTTAATGCCGAAACTCTTTGTCAGCCGAACACTTTTGTAGAATTCGATTGTAATACCTGTTACTGTTCTAAAAAAGGAAAACTTGATCCAAAGTGGTGTACCTATGACGACTGCGAAGCAAAACGGTTGATACAGGAATCAAATAAACTAAACAATTATTTTACGTCAGAGAAATTGTCAGACACTTGTACACCTGGTTCAATTTTCAAGGAAAAGTGCAATTATTGCATTTGCCCCGAAAGCGGTTTGTCGAAGGATAAAACATGCACAAAAAGTTACTGTTCAAGTGTCGATCAGTTCCATAATACTGTAAATTTCACTTGTGAGCCCTTAGCTTATTACGAAGTAGATTGTAACATTTGTTTATGCCCGAGAGATGGATTAAAAAATGTCGCAAAATGTACAAAAAATATTTGCGAGAAAAAATTTCTTAGATCAGATACTTGCTCTCCAGGGCATCTATTTAGCGAAAAGTGTAATGTTTGCGTGTGCCCACTAAATGGAAACAAAAACGATAAAGTTTGTACAAATCATATATGTCCTGAGGTAGCAACGTGGTCAAATTTTGAATTATCATCTTCAAATTTATTAGAAGATCGAATTGGTGTTGATACTAAACGGAGTCTAGATTTATGTTTTCCTGGAGAACGATTCATTATTGATTGTAAACAATGTGTTTGTCCCGAAACAGGATTAAAAATTTATGCTATATGTGACAACTCACATTGCAGTGACAAGAATCTGATATCAAATGTAAGTACCCATCACATTTTTCCGTTCACTGTAATTTTTCTTAAAATTCCCGATGCATTTCAACATCTTTTCTTTTCTAGGGTAAGGGTGACAAACGAGCACACAGTCCACCTGATGGTAAGTGGTTGCTGCGGCCCATAGACATCTACATCTATCTTCTATTACGAATTAAAATGCAGATGCATTGTCACCCGAGAGGCCTAAGATGGAATGCCTCATTTCCAGTAAAAAAGGGTCTCCGGTCTTCACTCACCATACGAAACACAGCAGCGTTAAGCTGCTATTTTACGCTGGTATTCTATGAGAGCGTGGTCCTTCCCCGGTCGAGCCGACCCATTCGTGCCACAACTATACCACTAATATAGCTGCAGCATAGCTCTACCACGTAAAATCTATTATTGTTTTGTAGATTTTCAAGAAAACTCGCACCATGCTAGGTTAGTTTTACCATTATTGTTACAGTCTATTAAAGGTTTAGTCTATTCCTATAAATTGCCTCATAGAGCAGAATATTTGACATAGTTGCCATTGTTTTTTGTTAGTTGTTATTAAGGAGATGCTGCTGCTTATCTCCTTGTTCGTGTGTATAGAGCTATTACTATTGCTCTGATAATGTAGCTGGCTGTAACAAGTCTTAGATTTTTGGCTTTGATTACATAATATTTGGGTTCCATAGGTAGGCGTTTATACAGCCTCGTACCTCAATCAACAGGTTGTACTGAATGTTGGCATATTTTACTCCGTATGTTTTCATTAAAATAAATTTATTTCGGCAACGTTGTAAACGATGTATGTTTCGAATATGTTTGATTATCTGCAATACATTTCATATTACTTTTATTTTAAAAAGGAACAACAGAATATGCAACTTATAAAATCACATCCTCTAGTTCGAATTCGTCGAGACGTCCCATATATTCCATACAACAGCAGCCTACATGAGAAGCAATTCACACCAGAATCCATGTACATTATCTGGTAAGCTGTTATTGGTTATACTTCAATTTTTTTTTCTGACAAACACTTAAAAAATTCAAACAAAAAAATTTAAGTTATTGTAATCTCTTGCTAACGATAAACGAGAAACGAGTTTGAATTATTTTTTTTTAATTTAAGATTCATTTTAACCTATCAAAGTTAATATGATTAATGAGCACTAGCCCTACCCGTGTGTTAAATTAAAGTCACCATTGTAGCGGCCACGTTCTAGATTATAAGTAAGTCCGTAAGTTGTTAACATGAAATTATTCTTTCTTGACAAATCAATCTTGGTAATATCTTATGAGTTCCATTACCAACATGCTTATGTTATCCGTATATCTGTTGTTGTAAGTATGATGAAGTATGCGTGTATATAATCTTATGAGTTCGCATCACCAATATGCTGTAATAGCAGTTTATATGGTTTTTGACTATGTTTACTATATTTTTTATTTTTGTAAGATTTGTAGAATTAGTGCTGTGTATGCTGTATATGTATACATATAAGTAAAGTTAAATTGACCACAATTATTATTTAAAAATATATTTAATTGTTACTCGGATTGCCGATAGCCGTGAATATCAGAATAATGTAAAAATTATGAAATTTTAATTTTTCATAGTATAATTAATTTTGAAATCCAAAATAAACCACTGCCATTTCATTGGTTCGAGTATTCCAGTCTGTTGGCAAATGTCTATTTTTATTATTTAACGTATAAGCTAATGAAAACTAATTTTATGTGTTATAGATACAACTACAAATAAAACAATTACCAATTGAAAGCGATGTACTTATAACCTTACAAAACATACGTGTAATAAGGTAAGCAATATAATGGACAAATGTTTCATATGCGAGTGTGGACAAAACCATATTTTAATTGAAGAGCATTGCTTTAAAAGCGAAAATAAAAATTTTACAGATGCCCGTCCATCATTCCTAATCAATGCTAAAATAATCATTTAAGAAACATTTTATTAATAAAAAAATTCTTTAATCTTAAAACTAGTGTTTATTAAACATCATATTTATACTGTGGTAGAACCACGCAGCAGCTTTTGCTGTTGCACGTATGAGCCGGCTCGAGCCGGGTTAGTACCACTACCTCATAGAATACTGACGTGAAGTGGAAGATTTGCTACCGCGTTTTGTCTGGTGAGTGCAGGTGACCCGAGGCCCAATCCCTCCCCTCCCCCATCAACATGGTAGCAGAATTACACGAAAGACTACCCCAGGAGGGTACCAGCACCCCTGGAGTATCCCTCGCTGAGCATCCACGACCATGTTATTCCACTCCTGAGGGTGGGTGCTCAGGCTGCCCCGCGTATTCTGGGGGGGGGGGGCAAAATTCCATTCAACACAATAACTGCTCGGGGCAAACTGGGCAACAAGAAAAACAATCACCCCCTTGTTCTCCAAAATAATGGAATCCGTTATAAACTGCACCTCATGCGGTACCTTTAGGATCACCAGCTGATTAGTGACCGCCAATACGGTTTTAGTCGGGGTCGATCAGCTGGTGATCTTCTGGTCTACTTAACTCATAGGTGGGCGGAGGCAGTAGAGTCCAAGGGGGAGGCATTGGCCGTTAGCTTGGACATTGCGAAGGGCTTCGATCGGGTGTGGCACAAAGCGCTTCTTTCGAAGCTCCCTTCCTATGGGCTTACCGAGAAATTATCTTGATGCTCCGAACTTGCAGATCGGAGCCTCAAAGTCGTTGTAGACGGTGCATGCTCCGACTACAAGCCTATTAACGCTGGTGTTCCACAAGGCTTCGTGCTATCATCAACGCTGTTTCGTCTGCATATCAATGATATGTTGCAAACCGGTAGCATTCATTGCTATGCGGATGACAGCACTGGTGATGCCTTATATACCGGCCGTGCCAATATTTCTCGGGAAAACGTCCCCGAGTACCGGGACAAACTTGTGTATGAAGTCAAGGCTTTGCTGGACAAAGTCTCGAATTGGGGGCGACTAAATCTAGTCCAGTTTAATCCTCAGAAGACACAAGTTTGCGCGTTTACCGCTAAAAAGAACCCCTTTGTCGTATCCCCTCAGTTTCAAGGTACTTGTTGCCTCAGCCAGTACCGGAATCCTCGGCGTCGACATATCAAGTGACGTGCAGTTTCGTGGTCACTTGGAAGAGAAGGCCAAATTGGCCTCTAAAAAGTTTAGCGTGTAAAGTTACATTTTTATATATTTGTTTGTCGATTAGTCTCACAAAAGGATTAAAAAAACAGTATATTTTTCTAAGCTTTGGAGAATACAACGAAATCAGAGATAAAAAAAAATATTTTTATAAGATATTAAAAAGGAATTTCAGCGATTGTGATTGTGAAAAATTTACAAATAAAGAACTAAAACAAAGGCGAATTGATTTAAATTCCTTTTTTCTTGTCTACTGACAAAATTTGTTACACAAAAATGTTAATGCCGTTCCGCAGAACAAAATTAACATTTTTGTGTTTGCACTTATACTTGCGATGAAACAATATATTTAAAGTTTCATTTAGTAAAAGCAATAAATTAATCTTTATTTTTGTCTTCAGAGATGACGATATTTACTCCATTTTGATTCTCAAGCGATGATAGGTATATACGGCTATGTTGATAAATAAGTTTTCGGAGTAGGAGTAGGAGTTATAGAAATGCGTTCTATTTTTTTCGAATCTTAAATTCGTTACTAGCCAAGACCAGAAAAAACTATATTAGAAACTATACCCATTTTTTTTAAACTTCACATTTGATAGGAATTTGGTTTGTATGCAAAATGGAGAAATTCGAACTTCGTGCGGTTATTAAAGATAGACAATGCTCTGTCTTATTCGACAACGGTATACTGGTGCCCTGAATTCAAACGCGGCAGAAGCGCCCGCAATGACGACATTCGCTGCGAGTCGTCAACAACGGCCGTTACACAAGAAATCGTTAAAAAATCGAAGAAATTGTTAAGGTAAATTGACTTATGAGCATCCGTTATTTAGCTGAGATTCTAAATAATTCGTCAAGATAATTTAGTTTAACTCATAAAATAAAATTCAAAAAGGCGAAGAAGCACGCTGAGTTCATCGAATGTTAACAGAAGCCCAAGAGCAAGCAAGAGTTGACATTTCAAAGCTAAATTTAGCAATAATTGAAGAAGATCCAGATTCTTTTGCGCTCGTTTCGTAACTTTAAATGAAAAATGGGAATACTATTTTGACTCATGACGAAACGTTAAAGCAAGGTATGGAAAATACGTCTTCCCCCAGCTATGGGATTCAAGGTGTCTGCGTCCGCTGGAGAAATAATACTCGTTATTTCTGTCTTCTGGGATGCGGAAGGTATAATAATGGTCGACTATTAATAACCGGCGAATATTACTCATCATTAATCAAAAAATTACGTGAAGAACTAAAGAATAAACGTCGACGAAAGTTGCGTGCTGGATCTGATGTTGCAGGCGCTGCCATCCGAGCTGCTGGATTTCAGTTGATGCAGCACCCACACTTTATTCTGGGGACATACATTTTACATATACTTATCGTTGAGTTTCATTGCGTTTGCAAAAACTTTTTGATCAACCTCGTAAGTGTCTGCAGGCCACAGCATCGACTCGCATTCAGGTGGATCTTGTGCTAGTTTGTCACCCTTACAATATAACTTTAAACATTATAGAAAACGAAATCATCATCCTAAAAGTATAAGCTATTATTTAAAAGGGAAAGATAAAACTACCTGTTTGTTTTTTATTATTAAGTTAACGATGCTCATCGAAAAATATTATTCTATTAAAATCTTATTCCTTTGCGAACATATATTTGCGAACTTTTAATTTCGAATGAAATATCAGGACTTTACTCAAGAAATTGCCGTTTTATAAAGAACAATTTTCAGGTCAGCCTGAGATCGGTATTTCGATAAGCCGATTCAATAGGATACAAAATTCGATCTTTTAGACTGATTTGAAACACTGTACCGATTTAGTGAAATATCCCTAATACCCTAAGAATCGTACCAGACGGATTCCAATTATGATAAAGGTTTCCCTAGCACAGTGGCTAAGAGTTACATCGCTGCACTGCAGGGCCGTGGGTTCGGCTCCTGCACTTAACAGGTGTTTGTATGGCCTACAAATAATATTTCTGGTCTGGATGTTTGACTATGTGCGATTTACGTATATAAAAGAAATTTAATATACGGGAGAATATCCTTTTGTGAAAGTATGTATGAATTCGATTCGGTTTTATCTAACACTAGCTGTTCCCCGCGACTTCGCCCGCGTGTTATTTGGTGTTTTTTTATTTTTTTCGCGGAACCCTAATTCTTTTTGTACAATAAAAGCAACCTAATTTACTCCTTGTGACATCAGCTATCTGCCAGTGAAAATCCCGTCAAAATCGGTCCAGCCGTTTCGGAGATTAGCCGGAACAAACAGACAGACAGACGGACAGACAAACAGACAGACAAAAATTTTAAAAATTGTATTTTTGTGATAAGTACCGTATATACTTTCATATGCATTTAGTAAAAATCTGTAATTTTGACATTACAAACAGACACTTCAATTTTATTTATTTGTATAGATATAGATTACGGCCGGTTTAAATTATCCTAAGTCTAGTTTGGACTAGGCTAGTAATTTAGTCGAGTGCCGATTAAATAAAACTAATTTTACGGATTTTATCGCGTATATAAACTTATTTTATATTCCCGACATTTCGAACACTTTATAGCACCCATGGTCACGGGGGCGACTGAGGTGTATTACGTTTAAATAAAAGGTTCGCCAAATACCTTACTGATCACATCGACCTTAGTGTAGAAACGCATTGAAAAACGCGCAGAGCATCGTTCGGTGTTATACGTAATACAAACCCAAGGTATTTTATTGCAGTCTTCTGAGTAGCAGCCTTCATTACACAGACTTAGAATATATATATATTTGTACCTCATAATATGTATGCAATATTTCATTTGATACAAGTACACAATATGTACATCATATAATTTATGAATTTTAATGTAATTTTATTTTTATACCATAATATATGATCCGTCTGCTTGTCTGAGAAATAAGAAAAAAAATATTTCGAAGACATGAAAAGTTCGCCAACACGCATTGGGGCAGCACGGCGGACATTTCCTTGCCCTAAAACCCTCTCAGAAAAGAGAGGAGGTACGTGCCCAACAGTGGGACGTAAATAGGCTGAAACTTTACTTTACTTTTATATATGCTATACTTTCACAACTAAGACGATTATCATATGTTAAAAACCATTAAACCGTTTAGGCTACATAGCATGCCAATGAAATAGATATAAATACAAGAAGTTATTATTTTTCTATATAATTTCTTTTATTTAGAAACATGTGTTACCAAGCGTTATAATATTGAGAGATTATATTTAGCTGTAATCAAAATAAAATACCTGAATAAAATTTCGTTATATCAAGGCTTTGGTTTATTAGTAAATAAATTGTTATTAGACAGCTAATTGTATTATAGGTATTGCTGTGGACGTAAGGGAGAATTGAAAATAAATCGACGGCTGGTTTATCGGCCGAAACTAAAAAGCTTATTTCGTATGTTTTTGATTTATACTTAGAAAACGAAATAATAGGGTTTAACTACTTCTACTGGAATCTAGTTGAAGATAGAGCGGCTCCGTGACGATGTGGCTTAGAAATGTGGGCCGCGGGTTCGAATCCCACACGGAACAATTATTTGTATGGCCTACAAATAATCTGGTTTGTCCTTGTGAAAGAACAATGGCAGACTTTCATACATAAAATTAGTTGAGAAGAAATGGTAGCGTCTATATACCAAAAATATCTTAAAATGTTAAGCCTCAGTCCCTTAATAACTCTGTCAAAGAATTTTGTACTGAGAAGGCGTCAAAAAAAGATATTTACATTTGAACTTTTTAGGTTATGTCCTATGTCACTTGGAAAAAGTCATGTTTCCTGTGGTTGTTTGACGT